CTTGGCTATATTGAATCTACATAAATTAATTCATAATAATTAATTTATTAATTATTCATTATAATTAATTTAAAAAAGCAAACCCACACAGGACACAGTCCCTCAGCTTATGCATGGGACCAAGGAGGTTCCTCGAGAAGGGGGTGGAAATGCACCTCACACCTCTGGGTCTTGTCTTCAGATAGTACCTTGTGGGGGAGGAGAAGTGAATAAGCCAAGTGCAGTGACATTCCTCTGTGATACTGCAGTAGTGCCAGGGCAAGAGCGGCCTTCATCCCAACTGCAGACTCCGAGTGACAGTGCTTTCACTCCAAGGGTCAGTTACGTGGGGAGTCCGCACATGGAGGACGAGCAATATGGCCTCCAGGGGGTCAGTTACGTGGGGAGTCTGCACATGGAGGACGAGCAATATGGCGATCTGTTTCTACCTTCTGTGTATCTGCCTTATCATATATCAAATTTGCTCTGAATAGAAGAAGAAAGAATTGTTATTATTGTTACTGTTATTAGTTCTGATTTTGGCTACACACGTAGGGAGAGCATTTCGGAGTTTGAACTTTATCTGAGTGAAGAGGGGAGCTTGTTACAGCCGCCATCTCCACTCCGATTTACCCAGGCATCACCTTGTACAGCTGGCATAGACTTAAGAAAGTAAAAAGAAAATGACTTGTAACACTTCACAGTTCGCTCTCTCCCCCGGGTGCTGTCATTTACAACGAGGTCTTTTTAAAATCATCAAAGTTTCCCTTTATACATTTGTAGCTTAATGCAGTTTTGGGGGATATGAAGATTCTGTGTTTCTTTTAACAAACACCCATAGTATGTAAGCATCAGAGGACAACAGGGCATTCTCAACGTGGTGATTGGGCACTGAGTACCTCAGCGCCTTCAGTTAGAGCCCATTGCTCAAACATATCCTCCTGAAACTCTTAATATTTAAATTCTAAACCCCGCTGAAACAAAAACATCTGTTTTTCATTCTTCCAAGAAAAGTCAGCATGTGCAGAAGATGGAGTTACTTAGGTTTTGTACAAGTGCCTTCCTTTTCTTAGGGACGTGCTGGTATTCACAGTGTGTCCCGTGCCTTGTGCAGTCACTGTCAGCTCTGCTTTCTCAGGCCATCCTCTCCGGGCCCTGATGCCCTTGCAGTTCTTTCTCAGCAACTCCCTGCAGATGCCATTGCTCAACAAGTCCCTGAGGTACTTGGCGCTCAGCCTGGCGTTCTGGGTGTAGCTGTCTTCATGTTTTTATCAGTTCTTCGGGCTCCAGGCTTTTTCTTCAAAGAATGTCATGAGATTGGGCTTGTTTACAGAAGTCTGCAGGAAATAACATTGGGCTATTGTTTTGATGACTCACTATGAACAAAAATGTGTTTTATATCATAAACAGTGTATCGCCACACCACAGCCGCTTTGAAAGTTGACCCCTCCTCTCTTGCCTGTCAGGGCCTCAGGACATCTGGCATGGAATAGGATGGGCTTTGTGGGCAGGGACCCTGGCACTTATTCTGAATCTGTGCATTGCATCACGTGATGGGGGAGGGTCTTAGCAGCAGGGTTTTGTCTAGTCTGGAGCCTTCCCTCCAGCTGCCAGAGACTGAGAACAGGCCAGACATTCGGGCAGATGTTCAGTCCTATCTTCCCCTCCATGGCACTTCTTCCCAGGGCTTTGCCTGGAGAACTGCTCTTTAGTGAGTGTTGCCATCGCTCTCTGTAGCAGCAAGGTAGCCATGGGCAGTGGCCTGTTGTAAGGACTGGGGTTTTTCCTCCCGCCGCTGGTCTGGTCCCGCCCCCGCGCCAGCCCCAAATAACACACAGAGACTCTGTATTTGATATAATTCTGTTGGCCAGGAACTAGTTTCTTATCGGCTAGCTCTGTCTTAATTATTAACCCATTTCTTTTAATCTAGTATTTCCACATGGTCTTCTCTTACTGGGGAGCCGGCTGGCATTCTGTTCTCTCCAGACTCTCCATCTTGGCTCCTCCCTACTCCTTCCTCTCTCCTCCTTGTCTCCTAGTCTCTCCTATCTTCCTTTCCTATTGGCCAACAGTGCTTTATTCATTAACCAGTATGAGAAACATGTTTACATAATGGCATCTCCCATCAGCCTGTTGTTTCAGCAAATACTTAATTCTTGCCCTTTGTGCCTCTGCTCACGCTGAAGTGGGCCACAAGTGACATTCCTGCTTCAGAACTGAGTCACAGGGAAGTTACATGAAACCCAGAGAGTTCAGACTAAGCTTTAGGGAATTTGGGTGTTTGAAGATACCAATGACGGCTGTAACAGGTAAATGTAGTTTACATACAGATGTATAGACACAGTGAGGCATGGTATCCATGGTGACTAATTTAAAAGGTAACCCATAGCGTTAATTTTTAAAAGTAGCCATTTAATTCTTTGACATAAAGTCAACAGTGTGTGGGGGGGGGGGTAGGGGGGGAGGAAGGGACTGTTTGATCGAGATTTTATTTCATTTACTTATTTAATTTCACACAATTGAAAACTGTTCTCAGACAAGGTGTGGAACTCATTCTCAATGGCTGTCAGGGTTTTTTCTCATCAGAATCTTCATAACACCAGGCGCTTTTCCATACCCCCTTGCTTCCCGCCCTGCCTCCCTCCCCATTTATTCTCCCTGCGCCCTCCACTGCCCCCTCCACTGGGACGAGCTGTCACCTTGCCAGCTGGTCCGTGTGAACGATCTCGTCCCCACTGGGGTGTATGAATGAGCATGCCACTGCCCGCACCAGCAGCCTGGCGTGCGTACACGCTACTGTATCTACTGGGAATGAAGAGTTCCCATCCTTACTTTCTTTTAAATAGCTAGTTAATCCTTGCCTGTAAAAACCAGCTGTCGATAAGTTCAGGACAGTCTGATGTGTTACTAGGTAGACTGTCAGTGAAAGCTGGTATTGAGTCTGACATAGACAGGGCTTGGCAAATGGATTTGATGCTTACTCCTAGAAATCTGGGCACCGAGTAAGCAGAAGCTGCCCAGGATGTTTAATAAATCCTATTTGAATTTTGGTTACTCATCCTTAAATCATAAGGTGGTATTCCTATGATTATTAATATATTTTCAGATTAGTCTGTGTAAATGATGCCTTTAAATGTTAGAAAGTCTGCTCTCACCAATTATACCCTTGTACCTAGTTGTCAGGAAAGTGGGCTTTGCAGTCAGTTTTCTTTCACACCTGTATTTATTTCTCAGCTAATTCTAACCTGTGGTATAGTTCTGCTGCTCCCCTCTTGAGGAACTGTTCAAGAATTTTAATGAAAGGGTTCCTTTTCTAGGATGGGATTCTCAGAGCATAACTAGGACTCAGTTATTTTTACCACATGAATACAAATAATTATTTCATATACAGAGAATGCTTTCTGTCTCAAAATTCTCCCTTGAATCTCTTTTCCTTTCTTCCTTCCTCCTTGCTTCCTTCCTTCCTTCCTTCCTTCCTTCCTTCCTTCCTTCCTTCCTTCCTTCCTTTCTTTTTTTCTTCATTTGAAGAAAAATTCTGGTTTTGGGTCTGCTTTCTCTGTAGTTTTCAGTCGTGTCTTCTGAGCATGCTCACACTGGAAGAGCTCTTCCTCTGGTATGTGAATGAGGAGCTCTGCCCAGAGGAAAAGTCTGCAGTACATGTAGATGCTCTTGCTGCCCCCGCCCCCCCAGCACACATGATCTGCCTTCCAGCTCACAGCATGCCTGCTCGACTCCCCAGTACTCTGCCTCATATCCTGACCATAGTCTTTTCAAATCAGATGTAGTGCTGCAGACTTCTGAAGCTTAAAAATAGATTTAAAAGGCAACAGCAAAAATGCACATACAAACAATGGAGGATGAGGAAGACAGACTTGCTTTGCCGAAGGTCGCTGTGTCCTGTGTTTCAGTGGTCTTTTTCTCTCAGGCCTTCTAGCATGATTTTTATTTTCATTTATTTATTTTTTTAATCTGTATCCCATGGTTGAGTTAAAGCTATAGAATAAGTTGTCACATTCCCAAGGTGGTCATCATTTGAACAGTGGGAATGATGTGTTTCTCTAGAAGTGCGTTATATTAAATATGTGTCTGTTCAAAGTACCAACTTGTACTCCCTTGTAAGTCTAATCAAGGTTTGTATGTTCTTTTCAGTCTTACACATGATCAAACTGATGTACAATAATGATTTACATTAAGTCCTAAGTTAGCGCAGTATCAGAAAAAGGAGAAATTACCTGTTCTATTAGATTATCCTAATTGTTTAATACCCAGTGATGAATATTCATATTTATAGACTAGGTAGAACTGTTTTCCTGCTGCTCTTAGAAGAAATAAAAGCAGTGGGAGTGGGCAATTGGAGAGTGACACAGTGAGGTTCAGGGACTGACAGTGGTCCTGGAGGCGGATGGGGAGTGAGCTGCTGGCCAGCAGTCAGAACAGGACTCCACCCTGGGCCGCAGGCCACTTCTTCCTCACAGACCCCTGTGCTCTTCCCAACCCTTCTTCCCTTTGCTTCCTGTTTTCCTCCCCATTTTAAGTCTCCCTTTATACTCCCTCTCCATTCGTGTGCACTGATAAAGCGACCCGAAGATCTGAAAACTTAGAAGTGAAGATCTGAAAACTTCGAAGCGGTTTCTCTGTTGTGGTATGATGTTCAGAAACACACGGAGCGAGAAGTGCAGGGTGGCTGGCTTCTGACAGGGCTCTGCCACCCCTCCTAGCTGTGTGCCTGGCCTCGGGCACTGCCTTTGTGACCCTCACTATCAGTCAGCCCTTGGGAGACGCAACTCCGCTCACACAGAATTCACGACCACACGGTTTATATGGTTCTTTCCCCAAATCAAGACATTTATGGAAGGACCAGAAGAACAGAATGCTCCAAAATTACGTGCACTGGTTATGCCAGGAAGATTATATTTGACATAGTTAGAAAACTGAGCTATGGACAACTATCTAAATATTAAAATGTAAACACTCAGTGGTTTGCTGCTGTTAATTTGATGGCTGCTTCTTTTTCCTTCTAGGAACGAAAGGAGAGGCTATCCAAATTTGAATCTATTCGTCATTCAATTGCTGGAATAATTAGGTCTCCAAAATCGGCACTGGGCTCATCAGCAGTAAGTAGGATTAATTGTGTGGTCTTCCAGGTATCACTGTCTCTCCTTGGAGTGTGTAAATGTTTATGTTCACAACCAGAAAAGTCAGAGCAGATTCAGTGTGCTCTGTACATTGGACTCTGTTTACATTTGAATATAATGTACCCCAAGTAAATTTCACAAGGACAGAAGTAGCTTGTTTGCGATGGGCCTCTCTTACAGTCTGTGAACATTCTGAGGCCACCATTGGATGCTGGAAACTGACTAATATTAAACCATTTATGCACACGTTTTCTATACATAGTCCACTGTTACATTTTACAAGGCATAGTAAGATACTAGGTAAAGGAAATAATGGTTAAGGACAGAACAGTTTCCACAGCGACAGTGTGATTGAAACTGTGTGAAACCCTTGGTATGCTAATGTGCCAAGGGCTTTACTGTGCAAGGAAAAAAGCATCACTTAACGTAATCATAATTTAAAAATTTTTGAGTATGTTAAATGATGTTTTTTTCTTATATAGGAGAGCTCTTGCCATATTAGCACATGGTTTGTTTTCTTATGATAAACTCAATAGAAGATAAAATTCATGTGTTTTATATGTATGCCGAGAGGGTTCAGGGTTTTCACTGTGTTGTACAACCACAGTTATCACAGGATGCTGGAATGATTTAGTTCCCCATAATGGTACCCCACACCTGTTAGAAGATGGATAGACATAGGTAATTAGCTGGGATGAACTAGGCTTTAACTCTGTGTTGTGTCTGATATGATAGATATTACTATCCCTTGTGTACTTAGGGTCACATTTTAATATCTCATATCAGCTCCCAGCAAGTGCTTTATTCCGCACGTGAAGGGAGCCAAGTAACACGTAACACATCATGGCTATTCCAGAGACTGGGGCCAGCTCCACATCCAGTACTGTCCATCTTCACAAGGCTGTCATTTCACACTGAGAACTACTTGCCAGACCCTGCTTCTGAAGCCAAAGACAGAGCTGTTGGGCAGTGTTGGCTGTGTCTCTTAAGTCCCCCTGGCAATCATAATGGTTCATTTGAGTTGGAAAGCTTTCGAACCATATTGAAATTACTGAGACCTGTTCCAACCATATTAGGAATGCTGCCCTTTGTCCAAGGCTCTTTTTACATAGAAATGCTCTAATGCGTGGCCGAGCAATCCCAGTGTTCCATGTTACAGCCATTTGAGTACAGGTATTACTCCTCTGTTGTATATAATGTCCCTCTAATTACAGCTCTCCTTGCAAAAACATTACTTAAAATCAGATTCTTACTAGTTTTAGTCTGCGTTATTTTTCCTTAATCTAAAACATTTCTGTTTAAAGATCAAAAAGTTTAAATTAGTCAACCCTGTCTTTTTAAAAGTCATTTACTGTATTGACATATTTTAATTTTAAGAAACTTTGAACTGGGCATGGTGAGTTCGAGGCCAGCTTGGTCTACATAGCGAGTTCCAGGACAGCCAGAGCTGATACACTGAGAAACCCCATCTCTAAAAGCAATCAGACGAACCTTTGAATTGGAATTTGAACATAAATGTGCTTCTTTTTATGTAGAACCACTTGTTTGCATTTCTCTTGTAAACTACCTTGTAGCTGTGTTAAGGGCTTTCTCAGTTGCGTGTCAGGGTTGTGGTTTGTGACTCCAACCATAAGCATGGGAAACACATGGGGAGCACCAATTGGGGAGCACTAATGCTCTCCTATGCTCCCAGGCTTTGTCTTTGTGGCTAGAGGGGTAACCTTGTTCCTGTAACGAGACAAATTAAAGTTAAATAGTATACATTTTAAACACCAGTTGTCTTCTATTATTCTGAAGGTTTAATTTACTTTTTTTTTCTTCAGTTTTAAAGTGTTCAAAAGAAAGCAACAAGGAAATATAAATGATTGTGTTATTATGGCCGTATGCTAATTTCTCCTGCATGGTCACATTCAGGAACACCCTAGTTATTCTCAAGTTGCAAGTTTGAACTACTTGTATTATATGTAATTTTCAAGAAGGGCTTATTGGGATTAATTTTGTACAATTTTTATTGTCTGAGACCAAATCTGTTCTTTCATGTGTAAGTTCAAGTGATTAAAGTAAGAACAGATGGTGGCACACTTCATGTGTGCTACACTCAAGTACGGCTACATGGGGTTGTTGCAGTGATCTTCTTGTACTTCTAGTTGAAATGTGTGATGTGAAATTGCCAGTGAATACTGGCGAATGTGCTGTCATTGATATTTTATAAATAATGTTTTCTTTAAATACAAAATACACAGTACAAAACAGTCATTCTTTCAAGATGATTTCCTCCCAAACATACGTCATCTTCAGATCTACCAATAAATTGTTCAGCGTTAGTTGAACCTCACACTTCAAACCCCTTTCAGACTTCCTGAGTTCCCATGCATTCTAGTTGTATGGACACGCCAGTTTTGATGGATAGTTGGCTGACGAGGGAGAGAGAACAGGCTGGCATCCTTGCTTTTGCCACTGACTTCAGGAAGACTGTTTGTGAGTGACATTGTGGGGAACTCCTCATTTTTGGGCACTTTTGCTGTTGAAATGGGTTCCTACTACAGTAAAAAGCAAACAAACTTGGATTTACTATGTTCAGATATATTGTGATAAAAAGCAGATATCCAGTTTTTGTAATTACCTTCTTTAAAAACTGCCAGCTCTTGCATTCAGTTCACAGCGAGCTTTGGGTAGCTTTCACACTCACTTTTAAATGTAGTATCCCTTATTTGATTACTGGTGGTTGGCTTGTTGTATGTTATTGTTTTCATTGTTGTTAGCACTAAAAGAAAAGAAAGCTTGCTACACTTATGAAAAAATTGTCACATCATGTACATATTTGTAAAATTTAGGTGTCATAAATGGAAGAACAATCACCAAAATGTGTCCTGAGCTTGAGGTCTATTGGGGACACTTTTTTATTTCCAATGAGCTGGATTTCGGGTAGTAGTACACTGGACGGACCTCTTCAGTGGAACAGACCAGTGAAGTCTGTCTTCAAAACTAGCTTTCTTTTACTGCCTGCGTATCATCCAGTTCATAACAATAGCCTACCAGTCTTCTCATACAGATGTTTGTATGTTTGTCTTTTATTACTCTTCTTAGCTTTCCTTTTCTGTGACAAAGTGCGTGAGATTATGACCCTGAGGAGGAAAGGCTTATTTTGGCTTCTTGGTGAGAGTACATAGTCAGCTCTTGGCAGCCACGTGGGTCCTTTCCAAGGATATGCCACCACATGGTCTGTCTCCTTTCCTTTAGCTCTACTCACCATGGACCAATTACAAAGACTTCAGCACTGGCCTTTGGAGGACATTGTAGATCCAAACTATAACTCTATTATTGATGCTGGTTTTTCCAGCTTATAATATATCGTTGTAAGGATCATCAATCCTGTATTCTGAGAACCACAGAATCTGTGGAAAGGTTCTCTGCCCAAAAAAATTCTCCAGCAGTGTGGGGCAGTTTAGTTCTTGTGGATGAATAGAACACAAGAGGATCTACTTGTGGTCATAACATGTATGATTTCGACCACCACTCATCCCAGGAATCTCAAGATAGCGTAGCTAACCCTCACTCCTCTCTTTGGATGAGCACCTGTCTCCTCAGACAGAGTGGGACTTGCGTTTCTTTCTGTTTATGGCTTATGATTGTCCCCATGCATGTGTTGTATTCACGTGTTGGTCATTTTTCTCCGATGGCTCTCACCCTGGACTTTGTCTGCAAAACCAAGGCCAGGCATGTGGCAGAGCGAAGGCTTAGCAGAGCTAAGGTAGAGGAGTGGGTGAGACTAGCCTGGCCAAGGCCGTTCCTACCTAGTGTGCAGTCGGAGTGTCCAGAGTTAATTAATTCAATGAAAAAAAGAAAAAACCAAAAACATGTTTAATGTGCTTGTGGTAAGTTTCTCTGAAAATACTTTTTAAAAATTTTCTGATTGATGAATGTTATTACATAGATTTATTTTGCGATAAGGGAATAATTGAGAGCTGCTAACCTTAAAAACTAATGTCCCTGTGCATGATAGAAAGAATCGAGGATATGTATTTATGCTAAACTTCAGCCCTGGTGCTCCAGGGGATATTTTCTTAGTAATTGGGAAAATATCAGGTTTGTCATGTAATGTTTAATTAGCCGATGAGGGCAGAGCATATGTAAGAAGTGTTTTTGCTTGCAATGAGAGATCTTTTCTCTAACTTGGTCTTTAAACGTGTGTTCAGCTCTCAGACATGATCTCCGTGAGTGAGAAGCCCCTGGCGGAACATGACTGGTACCATGGCGCCATCCCCAGGATAGAGGCACAGGAGCTGCTGAGGCAGCAAGGGGACTTCTTGGTGCGCGAGAGCCATGGGAAGCCGGGAGAATATGTCCTTTCCGTGTACTCTGATGGCCAGAGGAGGCACTTCATCATACAGTTTGTCGATGTACGTCCCCAGGATAGCTCATGTGTGCTTACTGATGGGACCCGTTGTGGTATGCTTGAAATGTGATGACGGATGGGTTATAAGAGTAAAAGTTTACCAGTGGAAGCTTTCATTAATTCCATGAATATGGTGCTCTAAAGTACACTAAAATATTAAATCTTAATGAGAAAGTATCATATTTAAAATTCAATAAATTTAAATGTAATTATCTAAAATGTTGAATTTGAGTACTAAAGTATTTTAAATTTAAACAGAAGTAACGTAAATACTGAGTACTTTCTGTAGTAAGACTTAAGACTTTATGAGATGTGAACTTTTGAGGGCTCCTCTAACTAGTTTTGAAGTATGATCTTTGTTATTGAATAGTATGAATGAAATTCAAGATAGTGAATTTATGATTCATCATCATCGGCCTTTTTCTGTTTTATTCTATAATACCTGTTGGTATTAATAAGCAATAAATAGAAAATGGTAAGTATAAACAACATATTCATATTATTTATCCTAAACCTAATTTACTTTTTGAGATTTTAGAATTACTAAACTGCTTTCTTTTAAAATGTTTTTATGATCATTGTGTATGTGTGTTTGCAAGTGTGTGCCCTTGTGCGTTTGTGTGTACATGTGTGCACGTGTGTGTGTGTGTGTGTGTGTGTGTGTGTGTGTGTGTATGTTTGTGTGTGTATGTGAATGAACTTCAGTACAATAGACCATTGTTAGGGGGCATGGCTACTGAAAATACTGTAAGAACTAGGGTGTGTGTGTGTGTGTGTGTTTGTGGGGGGGCAAGAGAATGCTGTACATGCATGGAGGTCAGATCAAAACCCTCAGATGTTATTTCTCTCCTACCTGGGTGGATTCGGGGAGAGCAAACCCAGGTCTCCAGATGTTTGCAGTAAATGCATTTACCCACTGTGCTCCAAGAATTGCCAAACCACTCACTGTTATGTTGTCTTTATTAGCACTAAATAGATGGATAGTAATTTTGACATTTTTGCTTTTACTGATTGAGAAATCTGTAAATCTATTGTGGCATTTTTTTTTTTTTTTTTGGGCAAATGGAAGAGTTGTTGCCTGTTTTTGTTATTTTTTTCCTGTGTTATTTCAAATGGCTTGCATTTGAAAATGCCTTTTCACATGACTTAAGTTTCTGTTGATTCACAAGAGTAACATGAGTAATATTAATTACCTTACAGAAAGATGAAGCCATGATCATAAGCAGAAGCTTAGGATTTTAGAGACTTAGTAACATACTAAGACTTGTATACATACTAATTTCAACTTGACTGAGCCATGAAATTTAGATTAACAGGCAATGATAAAATAAATGGTAAATATTTTAAAATAAAACTTGGTGAAAATCTTCCTATAATGGCATTGTTTATTCTCTTGCTCATTCATTCAGAAAATATGTATTGAGTATTATGTTAGGCCTGACCATGAGTCAGCAATAACACAAAATTAGAGGTGGTATTTAATATTTGAAATTTACTAAATATATAAAAGAGGTGTTAATAAATCTTAAAATAAAAATAGACTGTTCAGAATTCAATACCCAGTGACCAGATAATCTAACTAGAAAATAAAAAATGGAACATTGGAGTCAACTATGTTCTAGACACTATGATCCTCAAACATTTTTAGAGCATTGCATCTGGTAGCTGTTGTTTAAGCATTCCTCTCAACTGCAGAGGAGTAGTTTCCAGAACAAAAACATCATTAAAAAAAAAAACCAAAAGTCTCTTTTCTGACCACTGTGGAATAAAGCTAGAAATCAAAAATAGGTAAAACCCTGGAAACAGCATTAGAAAAACACAATTCACTGAAGACATTAAATGAAAGCTATAAGATTCTGGAGGGAAATGGAAATACACTAAAATATAGACTATTGCAAACATTCGAAAAGCAGTAGCCAGATGTCTGCAGAGACCTTGTGGTGCTTCCCTTAGGAAGCAGAAACAGAACCACAGCAGTAGGAAGGAGCAGGGGAGTGAGATATTTGAGAGGTATTAAAAGGCACAGGGAGTATGTTGGTTTGGGAAAGGATAAATGTTAGGAGCAGTTTTCCCACCAGCCTGGTCCAGCCCCAAATAACACACAGAGACGCTGTATTAAATATAAAGCTGTTGGCCAGGTACTAGCATTTCTCATTGGCTAGCTCTGTCTTAAATATTAACCCATTTCTATTAATCTAAGTGTTTCCATATGGTCTCATCTGGGTAGTCCCTACATCTTGACTCTCTCCACTCTGACATCTCCCAGAATCCTCCTTGTCTCCCAGTCCTACCTATCTTGCTTTCCTATTGGCCAACAGTACTTAATTCATTAACCAATAAGAGAAACATATTTACAGAATGACATCTCCCATCAGATAAAGTTAATAAACATTTAGCTAAATGAAGAACAATACTCATTGTCAAAGGTGAGGGTAAGGTATTAACAGCTGACACCACCAGAGAACAGAGGAGTATGTAAAAGGACTGTGAACGTGTAAAAACACGTGGAAAACGTCAGAGGGCTCGTGAGAGTTCTCAGCGGGTGAGGGTCCTGCCACCAAGCCTGCTGGACTCACGTGCTGGAAAGTACTGACTGTTGAAAATTGCTCTCTGCCTCGCACAGGAACCGTGCCCTTTCCCCATATGTGAATAAGCTATGGAAGAGCAGTTAAATTCTGTGGTATGGAAGTTACCAAATTTGAATAATATATATATATATATACACATATACATATACATATACATATACATATACATATACATATATATATATATATAAAACCTTTTGCCCCCCAACCCCCCCCAGTTGTTAGTCTTACTACATAACCCAGGCTAGCCATGAAGTTGGGATTTTTCCATTTCAGCTTCCACACTGCTAGAATGTGAGCTATGGCCTACCAAATAAAACACAAAGAGGCTAATAATGAGCGTCAAGATTGAATCCATAATAAATGCTTAAATTTACTAAAACTGACAATAAAATTTATTAGTAAAATTACTGTTGTGTCATGTTTTCAGAGTAATCAAAGAAATGCCTAACACTCGGTGCTTTCCTTATACAATCAACTAACATTTAAAGAACTAGTACCAATTTTCTCAAAAGTATTTTAAAAAATTGAAAATGAAGGAATCCTTAAAAACTTAATGTATACCTATACCAGATAAGAAACAATCTCAGAAGAATTTTATAAACCAGTACTGCTTTTGAACATAGTCATAAAATGTTAAATAAAATGCTAGCAAACTGCATTTCATGGCACATTAGGAAAGATCATTCACTGTGATCATCAAATGATTCATTCTTGGGATGCAAAAATGCTTCAGTATAAAATAGCTGACGTATTAACAGTCAAACACAGACAACACAGGGAAATTTAAATAGACACTTACAAAGCAAAGCATTTTTTACTAAATTCAAAATTCATTCCTGGATTAATTCCCTACACAACTCAGGGTGGAAGGAATATGCTGCAACCCAGTGAAAGTCACTTATGACAGACCCACAGCTAACGCCATACTGAGTGGAGAAATAACGGGAAGGCTTCCCACTCAAGTCTGGACCAAGACAAGGTCACCCACTGCCTTGACTTTTGTAGGCCCTTGCCAGAGCAATTGGCAAGAGAAAAAGAAAGGGAAACCAGAGAATTCTAAAAGGCATTAAAAAAAAAAAAAAAAAAAAAAACCAAAAGAAAAAGAAAACTGTTGGAACTAATAAATAACTAATAAATTTTGTAAAACCAAGAATTCAAAATCATTACCCAATGCACTTGGTCTTAGCTGAAAGCCTTTGAACTGGCCATACTTCTATATGCTGAGAAATCCACATAACCCCCATCCCCTAAAATGAATAACAACCACACTTTGAATGGCCATAAACACTAGACACAAATTTAACAGAGAAGTGAAAAGATATGAAAAATTTAAAACATGGATGAAGGCTATTGGAAAACATAGAAATAAATGCAAGGATAACCTATACGCATGAAAAAATCAATAAAGTTAAAATGTCCCCATATGATATATACAAACTCATCAACAAAGAATTATAATACATAACCTCAGTTTATTAGAGACTGTAGATACAACCAAATAGCCAAAACAATCGAGCAAAAAGAAGCTGGAGGCATCACATAACCAAATCTAAAAATGTATGAGGAGGTTGTAGTCAACAAAGTGACGTTAAAAATAGAAAGAACTGTATTCCGGTGATCAGAATAGAGAGGCAGAACCCATCCCTCACAGGGCGGCAGCTGGGTTCGCCTTGTTGTTGTTTTGGTTTTTTGACAGAGGAAAGAATGCACAGTGGCTCTGTTAGTAAGCAGTGTTGGGAACATTAGACGACCATATGCTTACGAATGAAATGACTTCACAATTACAAATATCAAATCAATATCTACTAAAACTTACACATTAAAAAATCATAACTCATGAAACTACTAGAAGAAAACAGGGGCAATGCTTTAAGATAGTGGCCTGGGAAGTGTTTTTTTTTTTTTTTTTTTTTTTTTTTTCATATGTCTCCAAATGTAGACAATAAAAAATTGTTGGCTGGGTTCATGTCAACCTTGGAAAGCTTCCATGTGGAAAGGAAGCCATTGACAGAGTAAAGAGGCAGCTGAACAGAGTAAAGAGAGCATTTGCAGACTACACAGCTGATCCAGAAGGAACTCAGGTAGCTCAATAGCACCAAACCAAATAAACCGATTCAAAGAAGAAGAAAGGTTTGAATAGACTTTTGAGCAAGTTTCTATTTTTTTTATAAAATTTATTATGAATATAATTACATCACTTTTCCTCTTTCTTCCTTCCAGACCCTTCCACCTTCTCCCTCTATCTCCTTCCATGTTCCATCCATTCTCAAATTGATAGCCTCTTCCCTATTATTGTGTGTGCGCATGTGTGTGTGTGTGTGTGTGTGTGTGTGTGTGTGTGTGTGCGCGCGCGCATGTGCGTGTGTGAGTGTGTGCACAAATGTACAAGCACAGCCTGATACGCCTCCTTGTTTATGTATATGGTTGGGGGCTGACCTCTGTGTATTGGACGCCCTTGGAGGGGGCTCTTCCCCAGGAGGGGCTGATCTCCCTCTCAGCAACCCCCACCTTGTCCAGGGTGTGACCCCGAGAGTGAGTTTCACCCTTTCACAGTAGCATTTCTTCAATAGGTTTTTTTTCTTAAAAGAAGAAATACAAATGGCACCAGGCATTCATGAAAGATGTTCGGCATCTCTAATGTAAATTCAAACTGCAGAAGCAGCATGTTGCTCTTGTGAGAATGCCTGCTTTGCAGAAGACAAACTAAGCAAGAGCAGTGAGGAAATGAAGGAAGAAAGTCTGCATTTTTGTCAGGAATGTTTATTAACATATAGCTTTTATAGAGGTCAGTGTGGCGCGTCCTCAAACACCCAAACACAGAATGACATGATCCAGAAGACCTATTCCTTGGATCATATGACATGTTAAACAGTTACATTTCTGTTGTTTCCACTACACTATTCAGAAGAGTCAGTGAAATCAACCTAAATGTCCAGTATCTGGGTGGGAAAAGGTGGTGGTGCGTGTACAGCACACACTGGTCAGCCACAAAAAAGTTTGAGATCCCGCCACAGCTAACAGCACGCATGTGCTGGGGCCATAGCTAACAGCATGCATGTGCTGGGAGCATGTCGTTGGGTGAAATAATTGTGTGTGTAAACCCAGAGTTGAGTAGTCTCTACAGAAGAACGAGCAGAGGGAAAGGGGGTAAGAGGTCAGTCAGCAGGCCCAGTGGTCAGTGTTACTTATCGGAAATGAGGTACGTGCTGGTTTTCGTGGCATGGTTGGTAGAATATAAGTAACAGTAATGCAGTCTGTGTGTCAAAATAGAAGAATTTTCATGTACTGACCATAATGAAATGAGCAAAGTTTAAGTGATGGCTTTGCTGCTTCCGGAGTGATTTGTGTCCTGTCACAGCCATGAATGAAAGCATCACATTGTATTCATATATGCACAAAGCTGTGGTCAATGACACATTTTTTATAGTAAGAAATAGAAAGAGATTAGATATTGATTATGTATCAAGTTCACTTTGAGGTGATTAAATCTCTGAATTACTTAGCTTTTTTTATTACTGTAGTTTCTAGACTCTTTAAGCCACATTTGAAATTCATATTATGAATCTTAATGTGTAATAAAAACCCAACACATTCTTTTGCATAATAATTCTAAATTTGTAGCTTACCTTGTGTAGTTGGAATTTTTTTCATTATATAGTAATCATGAAGTCATCATTAGCATAGGCAATAACTACTCTGAAGTTTATAGCAGGGTTGATTTGAAGTTTCATTCTGTATGAGCTTCATTTTATTACTTATTATTGAATGTTGTACGTTAACGCCTCATGCTCACGAGTGTGTGAACTTTCTCAGTCCATTTGTAAACTGTCTTGTCTCCTTCACAATGCTTAATGCATTTCATGTCATTTACATACATTTATTTCTACAGGCCATATGTGCCACAGATCCTACTAGACCATAGGGCTGTCGAGCTGAGCAGAGAATGAACAAATTTGTTGCCCAATGTGCCTGCATTCTAGAAGGGAGATAAATAATAAAAATAAATAAAGAAAGAAGTAAAGTTAGTGCTCATGAGATGGCTTCCTGAGGACCTAAGTTTGATTCCCTCAGCATCTATGCTAAGCATCTCACAACCACCTGTAACTCCAGCTGGAGGAAACCCAACACCCTTTTGCTGTCTCTGTGGGCACACGCGTGTGCGCACATGCACAAACACACACACACACACACACATCTTTAAGATGATAGGGTCATTGATTCTAAGGATGCAGTGTCAATAAGAGAAGGAGAGAGAGCTTAAATTGGGATGAGAAGGTGGAGATTGTGCATTGTGTAGGTGCAGAGAGTTAACTTCACAGAAAAGGTATTTGATGAAAGCCTGGAAGAGACATCAATAAAGGAGATATTACCTGTGGCACTGGCTGCCTTATGAATTAATTCATGTAGCAAGCCAACGCAGCTCTCTGAGGAAGGAGTGCGTATCATATTTTAGAGCAACAGGGTGATTTCAGTGCTTGGAGACTGAACCAAGAGGAGGAGTGGCATGAGATGAAATAGTAAGACAGCTGTGAGCCCAGATCATCATACAGCACCTTTGTCCTTTATGCCGAGGGGAAGAAGCAAAGGGACAATATCCCCTAATTGCTGTGTTAAGAATGGAAAGAAAAAAAGCAGAAGTCTGTATCTGTCTGGTGTCGTTGGGGTTGGTGTTGTTGGTACAGTATCTGTCTGCTGTTGTTAGGGTTGGTGTTGTTGGTACAATATCTGTCTGCTGTTGTTAGGGTTGGTGTTGTTGGTACAGTATCTGTCTGCTGTTGTTAGGGTTGGTGTTATTGGTACAGTATCTGTCTGGTGTTGTTGGGGTTGGTATTGTTGGGGTTGGTGTCGTTGGGGTTGGTGTCGTTGGGGTTGGTGTTATTAGTACAGTATCTGTCTGGTGTTGTTGGTGTTATTAGTACAGTATCTGTCTGGTGTTGTTGGGGTTATTAGTACAGTATCTGTCTGGTGTTGTTGGGGTTATTAGTACAGTATCTGTCTGGTGTCATTGGGGTTGGGGTTATTAGTACAGTATCTGTGGTGTTGTTGGGGTTGGTGTTATTGGTACAGTATCTGTCTGCTGTTGTTAGGGTTGGTGTTATTAGTACAGTATCTGTCTGGTGTTGTTGGGGTTGGTGTTATTGGTACAGTATCTGTCTGCTGTTGTTAGGGTTGGTGTTATTAGTACAGTATCTGTCTGGTGTCGTTGGGGTTGGGGTTATTAGTACAGTATCTGTCTGGTGTCGTTGGGGTTGGGGTTATTAGTACAGTATCTGTCTGGTGTTGTTGGGGTTATTAGTACAGTATCTGTCTGGTGTTGTTGGGGTTATTAGTACAGTATCTGTCTGGTGTCGTTGGGGTTGGGGTTATTAGTACAGTATCTGTCTGGTGTCGTTGGGGTTATTAGTACAGTATCTGTCTGGTGTTGTTGGGGTTATTAGTACAGTATCTGTCTGGTGTTGTTGGGGTTATTAGTACAGTATCTGTCTGGTGTTGTTGGGGTTATTAGTACAGTATCTGTCTGGTGTCGTTGGGGTTGGTGTTATTAGTACAGTATCTGTCTGGTGTCGTTGGGGTTGGGGTTATTAGTACAGTATCTGTCTGGTGTCATTGGGGTTGGTGTTATTAGGACATGCCATGCTTCTGTGACATTTCACATTTTCCTCTCTCTGTTGCACTGTGCCGTGAACAGCAGAGCATATTCCTCCTCTCCAGTGGGATTTTTGTCTGTTTTATCCAACTTCCTGCTGTTTCTGCCATGTTCTCCCCTCAGCCCATGATAGTCACCCTTGCTTTTCCTTCCTGGCTGTATTGATTTGGAAAGTTCTGTTTCATATTAGTTATCCCAAAGTGCATACTTCTATCTGCATCTGCATGCTTCCTCGTGTGTTACAGTTAAGGCCAAGAAAGATCCACACAGAAGCTTTTAATGCATTACATTGTGGTTTTTCTGCCTTTGCAAAGTGTGGCCCATGGGCCACCTCTGTGTGCACAGCTGTCAAATCTTTGTTGTTGTTGTTTTGAGACACGCTGTCAGGTCTGTTTAATAGGAAAGCCAGGAACTGCAGGGCAGACTGTGAGAAAATGCTCCTTACCCAGTGACAGGAAATGTGAACTGTGCCAAGATCTGCGGCCGAAGAGATGGCTCAGCCATTAAGACAATGTGTTGTTCTTATAGAGGCCATAGTTCAGTTAGGCTCAGGACTGCCTGTCAATCTAGCCGTCTCTGGCATCCATGGGCATCCATACACACAGCATGTGCTCTCATGGCATGCACATTTACAATAACAGAATAACTCTTCAAAAAAGGTGCTAAGCTCCGAGCTTGCTGTTCTCGAAGGCATTGGCACTGATACGCTTTATTTCTTTATCTTCATTTCTTGTGTGAATGATGTTTGGATCTTTATTTTATTTTTTTATAGTCGATACTGCACTGAAGTCCTCCTGTTGTTGTATTAGGCTTCCTCAAACTTTTGATGGTTTTCTCCATGCTGAAAGTTGATTGAGTGGAATATACATGGGAACACATACGGACATCTTCTTGTGCCTAAACTTGAATGTGCACTTGCCTTGTTTCCTTGGTCGTCATTAGTAAAATGCAACTCCGCTCTGTTAGCATCTTCATACTATTGTGATGATGTGAGTTCTGTGTATTTTGAAAATTTTTCTGTCAAAAGATTTGGCAGTAGACTAGAGTTTCGTCTGCCTGTCGGTAATTTTTACTACCTAATAAGTGTGAAGTTGAATGTTGTGTGTGTTTGTGTTGCTGTGCACTGACAGCTCTCCTTAGGTAGAATTTAACTGTGGATGAAGATGGTTTTCTTCTGAGAAAGCGGCTTCCTAAGAGCTCTGCTCTGTCGTTCTCCCTGCAGAATCTATACCGGTTTGAAGGCACTGGGTTTTCAAACATCCCCCAACTCATAGATCATCACTTCTCAACCAAGCAGGTCATCACCAAGAAGTCCGGAGTGGTTCTGCTGAACCCTATCCCTAAGGTATGTTGGGTTCCTTCTTCTTTGTTGTAAAAACTCAATACTTGTTAGCATTTCCCACAATGAGGAAAGTTCCTAAGTGGTGTGTTAGAGTCAGAAACACATCACTTCTGTGAATACTAATAACTCCTGGCATAGCTGGGACATGGACTTCCTTTAATTTTATTAAGACGCGTTGCCTCTCTGCTCAGTATTTGCGAGGACATAAATGGCCTCATTTTGTTCATCCCCAACTTACCTTGGAAGATGTGAGATTCATATCTCGAAAGGTCCTAGCAAAAGCTTTGAAGGTGAACACATCAAAGAACATGTCTAGCAATTAGGAGTGAAGTCAGAACTTTAGGTTGGAGTGTGATTTTCACAGTGCAGTGCAGGCTTGGGGCAGTTTAGAGCTACACTGCTCTTCTTAGAAACGGTCCCTTCCCGGGAAACCAAGTCAAAGATGGCTTGAGATCATTTCTACCTCTAAGATAGATCACAGGGTAATTCTTTCATGCGCTAAGAGCTATGGGAGGTTAGGATGGGCGTGAGGAATGCTGGTGTGTTCTAGGCAGCACCCGAGGCACCCACACCACAGCACAGCATTGAGTCCATTTGGGCCTTTAGCCCCTTGAGTGTTGGGGGGATTGGGTTGCGGATGGCAGGTGCCCTGTCCTTTTAGAGCTGTGTGACATGAAGAATGGTGTCAAAATGGAAAAGACATTAAAATTGGTAGGTGACATGTATGCATTTGATTTTTATAGAGCTAGGGGCTACTTCTAATTTGAAGTGACAGCCCCAAGTATGCTGAAAAAATTGGAAAATTTAAAAAGTTACTGTGTTTTCCTTTGTTAGTTTAGAAAATAATGTCTGTTTAAAGTGGGCAGTCTTACGACTTTACCATCCATACATTAACAAAGAGTGAATCACAGCTGTCGTCCAGTATTGTTCCTACAGGGCAGCTTCCTCCCAGTGCTTGCTTCTAAACCATCTCAACATCTGGCTTCAGTTTGTCCTCCTGTCCGGCTTCTCAGAACTCACAAGCCGAGGCTACCCTTGGTGTCTCCATCTACACCCCTGCTTCTCCAGTCAGATGACACTTGACAGTGTGAACTCCAGTCCCAGTCCCAGTATATCCTATTCTGAATCAACCTCAATTTAGTAACAAACATTTTACCCATGCTAGGTTGATAGAAAATAAACTCTCTTTACATATCTAGATGCTTAGGTTCACAGATGCTTAGGTTCACAGAGTATTTGCATAGTGTGTAGGCTTAGGCAGATGCACGTTAGAGATCAAACCCATGTAGAAATTAACTTGCAGATCTGGGCCTGAGCAGGAATATATAATTTCAAATAAAATTCTAGCCATCACTGCATAGAAATGACTATGAAATGAACTTAGGTAATGGATTAGGTTCTTTACACTATTGCGTAGTCAATTATTATTTTTCTGTCAGTTCTCTAGCACTGTGGAGTCGATTATCCCATCATTTTATAGCATTAGTTATGCAAATAAGGGAATGAGGGAAGCTGTAGAAGGTCAAAGAGCTACATTTGATTGTTTTATGAGGTAAAAACTTAAAGCTGATCCACGTGTTAACCTGAGCTAAAGACCTGCTATTTAAAATATGCACATTAGTATCTATCTATTATGAACATTTTTACATACTTAGTTCTAAGAATCATATTACTCTTTTTAAAGGTAATTGTTTTATAGGTTATGAAGGACAATTCTCAGTTATGAGTGGGGAGCAAATTGATATGGATTTTGTTGTGGTGGTATTATTTGTACTCTTATTACTGAATCTATTTCTTGATTTAAATGGTGTAAGAAGTTAATATACTTGACTATATAGTATTGCCATAGAATATTAGCTATAATATCTAATTTTCATCTTTCTAGACTTTATTTTTAGCCTTCATAGAGAATGTTGTTTTGCTTTAGGAGCAATTTTTGTTTCCCATGTATCTTTTTCTCTTATTTATGAAAATATAATTTTATTACTATATTGCCTACTGTGACTAAAGTAGTTTCTTAATCTTTATTATTTGCATTTACTGACAAGTGCAGGGAAACTAGACAACTAGAATGGGGGAATTGCTTATTTTTTACGGCCTAATGATGGTATTAATGAATGGGTACCCATCTGCTCCTCACCCGCTGTTTTTTCCTGTTCCGCCTCACAGAGCTGATGTAGGGATTTAGGGCAGGGGAACCATTGTAAGGAGAACTATCTGGTCACCATATTTGTTATCTAAAGCAGCAAGCCCAGTGGGCTCCTGTGACCTGTTCATTGTTCATTGCTTCTCAAGAATCACTTCTTCCAGAGCCCTTCTCTGTCATGTATAAATGGTAGACTCTCATTGTGCATTCCCTTATTCTTTTTCTTATTTCAGTGGTTACATATAAGCACCTTTAAAGGGCATCATGCATTCTGTTTTCTCTCCCCCCAAGTGCAGTGTAAGTTCCAAAACTGTGTTTGACTTGGTATTGATGTCGTCCTAGTACCCGGAAGAGCGCTAGACAGAGGAGGCATGCATTAAATGTGAAAAGACTGACTCCGTGCGTTAATTCCCAGGACTTTGCAGTTAACGCCCCCCTTTCACCCTCTTCCTTTCCCGTGTGGGGGCTGAGGGTGGGGCCTGCAGAGTTCCCAGCAGGCACTCAGCGTGGAGGCTGTCCTTGGCCCTTGGCCAGCCTCCTCCCATACTGAGGGTGGGGCCTGCAGCGTTCCCAGCAGGCCCTCAGCGTGGAGGCTGTCCTTGGCCCTTGGCCAGCCTCCTCCCATACTGCTCCAGGCTATGCTTTGTCATTACGCTATACAATATTATCGTTACTTTTAACATCACGGAGGACGATGAACGAAGGGACAGACAGGACTGATGGAGACAGTGTTGGGTTTGCATCCGCGTTGTTAGCACAGACTTCAGTAGGAAGGTGAATAGGGATTCATGGAAAGGACGTCCTCTCCTTTGATAAAATGCTAGATCGGAAAGAGGTGCATAAAGGGCAAATCATGAAACTAGTATTGGGCAGAGCTGGAGTTTGAGATACAATGTAGAATTTGAGAAAATATAAGTAAGGATTCACCCAATTTAACATTTAAATGGCACTTCAGAAGTTATTTTACTGGGCAAAGCTACTGTTTCTTCCAATATAGCTTTCACAGGAGTACTTCTCTGAGTGGTCTTCAGAGCTTAAGTGTTCATGAGTAAAGGTTGGTCCGTCAGCTGCTTCTTGAGCCGTAGGCGCATGTTTGCCTCCTGGCAGAACCAGGTGACCGATGTTTGCTGACTTTAGTGTGGCTTGCCGTATTTTACAGGCAGTTATGTAGAGATGGTGGTTAGTTTCCCCGTGTCAGAAAGTAGAGGGTGTGGTGGCAGCATGAGGGTCAGTGCAAGCACAGAGCCATCCCGAGTGCGGGGGAGGGGGCAGGTGGGGGGAAGGGGGGGAGACTGCACAGAGCCATCCTGAGTATGTGGGGGGGGAGGCGGGGACTCTGCACAGAGCCATTCTGAGTGTGGGGGGGCAGGGAGGGGGCAGGGGGGAGACTCTGCACAGAGCCATCCTGAGTGCGGGGGGGGGGGGTGGAGGCAGAGGCTCTGCAAATATCTATCCTGAGTGCAGAGGGGGACAGGAAGGTGGAGGGCTCTGCACAGAGCCATCCTGAGTGCAGAGGGGGGCGGGAATGTTGGAAGGAAGACATTGCATTTCTGTCTGCTCTGCTAAGATCATCTTTTTATAGTGGCTGTGACATAATTTTTAGTATACTTGAGATTTTCTTAGTTTAGCTTTTGTGAAACCAGAGAGACTCCTTTTCTCTAAATCTATGCCCACATTCCTTAGTGCAGCATGAATAATAAAAACCTAGAGACAGATACTGGGTTAAAGCTGAAGATCAGAGAAGCAAAGCAGCCAGCTTCTAGTTCTTACCTCTGCCTCAGATGGAAAGGGTGATCCCGTCTCTATGAACCCTCAGATTGAATCCGATGCATCTGTTTCCACCAAACTGCAGACTGCTAGACTGCCCCTGTCTCCCCTTATACTCCTCTCTAGTGCTGGGGTCAAAGGCGCGCCGCCACTGTCTGACCTCTGTGGCCAACTAGTGGGTTAGCTCTTAACTAGGTGCGTGGTAACTTAGTGTGTGACTTAGAGTGACTTAGCTCTGCACTCTGATCCTCAGGCAAGCTTTAGTAGATCATAAACAAAATATCACCACACCTTAATTTGTTAAGCTCCATTGGGGAGTTTTTAAGATAATTTTATATTTGAATAAGGAGAATAATGGAAAATACATATGTTTAGTGTTCATTCAGTAGATTTATTACTGACTATGCTCTGTATGCTCAGCAGCATTCGGAACTGTCAAGAATAAATGTTCTAAAATCAGTAAGGAGGTAACGGGGGCTGTGTTGATGTTGTTAAGGCCTGGTTAGATACTGGGAGACTGCATGTTATATGGAAAGGAATGTGATATGGAAAGGAATAGCTACTGATTTTCATTTTGAAGTATGTAAAATTTAATTTTTGATGATTTGAGACATGTTAGCCTTGAACTCACTGTGTAGCTAGAATGAACTTAAACTCCTGTATCTTCACACACACACACACACACACACACACACACACACACACACACGCGCTCACACACACCCAGTGCTGGGATGAAAGAAGTGCAGTACCACACCTGGCTTGGTTTAAATGTTATGGTCAGATCAGGTTTCTTGATATGGTACAGGTAGAGATGTGGAGATCAAAGAGCTATCTGTGTGGCTATATGTAGGGGTGACAAAAAAATGATTAACAGTTTAACACGGACATCAAACCATCGAAATGTTTGGTCTTTCTATAGGTATGTTTCCTAGATGGTTATCCTCAGTGAGTGAGTACGTGAGTGAGTGCGTGCGTGCGTGCGTGCGTGCGTGCGTGCGTGCGTGTGTGTGTGAGGGTGGGGATGGCATGGCTATCCAGTAGTTTATTAATTACCCTGGCAATATTTGAAGGATGATGGAAAGTGGTA